GTAGATCAGGAGTGATTCTTGATCTTCATATACCTTCTTAGCAACTAGGGGCTTAGGGACTTCCTGAAGCCACTTCTCATTGTCACATCTCATGTTTCCCTGTAAACACTCACAGCTGTCTCTAGTTATTTGCTCAGCAAAAGGTACAAAAACTTTGCACAATACACATAAGAGCAATGCATTTGAGTAGCACTGTACCAGGAATCACAGAGATGAAACCTGTAACTATATACTCTTTCTGCCCTTTCTGTTGTGTATTGAGGGATCCCAGGGTGCATTAGCTACAAAGGACCTCTCAATAAAGTAGAGTCAATGTTATTTAGGGTCACAGAATTTAAAATGAAATCAAATATGTTGCTTCACAATTTTTTCTAGGAAACAAATATGTGCAATCGCGGCAAGTGAAAGCAATACAGGTCCACCTCTCTGTGACACACACAAGCCCTTTCCAGCAATGATTGTTTGCTTGTTGTTGAAGTTTCATCTTACTCTGAAATGGTCACACATGCATCTCATTAATCACAACTAAAGAATACATGACAGGTTGCTTCATTCTCTCCAGCTGCTCAATGACCAAAGGAAACTAAATCTACTTGACCTAGTCTTTAGTGTTAGCAGCTCTAGGTTCAATTTTAGTCACATCTGAACTGTTACAAACATTGGATCATATTTCTTCTGCTCAGACTTGAGTGAAACCATTGCAATTGCTAGAAGGAAAGCCTTGCGGTCACAACTTTCCTTTGGAGGACCCAGGACACATTCCCTTCTTTGTAAGTAGTCTCCACCCACCCTCCCTCACTTATTCCACTGGAGAAAAACACATATGTGAAAGGTGTTTCCTTAGCGTGCACTTCTCAGGTTTTAAAAATTTCCCAAATGCTGCAAGGAAAGAATATCAGATATTTAGGAGAAAGCAGCAGGGGGGTAGGGAGTAGGAGGAGCAGAAGGAAGTTCTTCTCTTGTACATGGTAATGGGCACTGGGACTGTTCTTCGTCCTTGCTTTCTGTGATGAAAGTTGTCATCTGTCCCAGCCCCTTGCCAACCTGAGAAGCTGGCATCCCATAGCTGTTGATAGCATCTGGAAGCCAGTTCTAATAGGATTGCTCTCATACGTCTTGCACACCCAGATGTTTCTGTTTCACTCCAGGCTCCTCTCAAACAGAAAATGTTGCCAAAAACTAATATGAGCCCTTAAATTTCCCCTTAGGTCTGTTCACTCAAGTTCATGCCCTTACCACTGCCCCCCTGATTCTCTCAAGAATACCCACAGAAAAGTTTGCC